TCAGTGGAAAAAATGGACATTAAATGAAATAGAGGACTTTCAAGCATTCCTGATGAAAGGACCAAAGCTGAATAGAAAACGTGACTTTAAAATACAAGATTCAAAAGAAGCATAAAAAGGTAAACAAGAAAGATAAATCATAAGGGATTCAATAAGATTAAACGGTTTATATTCCTACATGGGAAAATGATATTTATAACTCCTAAAACTTTCTCATTATTAGGGCAGTTAGGAGTACACATAGAGAGCAGAGGTGTGAGTTGAATGTGATGGTATGATTATCTAAAAAATAAAATTAAGGGATGAGAAGCGAGAACGCACTGGGAGAAGGGGAAAGGGAAAAGTAGAATGAGATAAATTATCTGATATAAAAGAGGCCTGAAAGAGATTTTACAGTGGAAGGGAAAATGAGGGAAGCGGAGAGGGAGCATATAAGACATCAGAATTGGCTCAGAGAGGAAATAATATACGTACTCAGTTGGGTGTAAAAATCTACCTTACCAGACATGAAAGTAGGAAGGGAGGAGTATAACAGAAAAAAAGGGAGCTGATAGAAGGAAGGAACAGAGAATGGACAGGGTAAACGGAGAGAGAGAGTAGGATAAACACAGGAAAAATAGGATGGTGAGAAATACACGGTTGGTAACCATTACTGTGAAAAATTTTTTTTACACTGAGTTTCTCTGATAAAGACTTTATTTCTCAAACATATAGAAAACTGAGCCGAATTTGTAGAAATAAGAGACATTTTAAATCACTATTGATGAGAGAAATGCAAATTGAAACAACTCTGAGCTACTACCTTATACCTGTCAGACTGGCTAATGTGACAGAAAACGAAAATGACAAATGTTGGAGGGGATGTGGGAAAATTAAAACACTAATGTACTATTGGTGAAGTTGTATACTGATTCAACTATTCTGGAGACCAATTTGGAACTATGCCCAAAGAGCTATGCCACTACCAGGTCTATATCCCAAAGAGATAAAAAAACAAAAAGGAAAAGGACTTATGTGTACACAAATACAACAACTCTTTTAGTGGTGGCAAAGAATTGGAAATTGAGGGGATGTCCATTAATTGGGGAATGGCTGAACAAGTTGTAGTATATGATTGCGACAGAATACTATTATACTAAAAGAAACGATGAACAGAATGCTCTCAGAAAAACCTGGAAAAACTTACATGAACTGATACAAAGTGAAAAGAGCAGAACCAGGAGAACACTGTATACAGTAACAGCAATACTATATGATGATCTACTATGAATAACTTAGCTATGTTCAGCAATACAATGATCTAAGACAATTCTGTAGGACTTAGGATGAAAGGTGCTGTCCATCTCCAAAGAAAGAACTGGTAGAGCCTGAATGCAGATCAAAGATATTTTTCTTTATTTTTCTTTTTTTCTGTCTGTGTTTTCTTTTACAGAATGGCTTATGTGGAAATGTGTTGTGCCTGACTACACATGTATAACTGTGTCAAATTGCTTGCCTTCTCAATGAGGGAGAGAATTTGGAACTCCAAATTTGAAAAAAAAGGGAATGTTAAAATTGTTTTTACATGTAATTGGGAAAAGATAAAATATTAGGTAAGATTTTTACAATTAAAAAAAAAACAAAAGGGGGTTAAGACAACAATGCAGAGCCCTTTAGAGCCATGGTGATTTTCAACTTTGCATAGACTCCTTGAGTGCCAAGAAGCATCTCCAAACTCTCTGCCTTGTTACAGCAGATAAGTACTGTTTGCGCCTGCTTCAATACCTCCCATTCTCATCCTAACACTGCACAAAGGACTTGACTTTCAGGGTACCACACAAAGGTTCCACAAACTAAAAAATATGGGGAAATTACTCGTTAGAATGTTATCTCTGGTAGGTTTCATAGAGTGCCTGCCCCAGGTATCCTTCAAGGCTCAGCTCAAGGTTCACTTCCCACTTGTCTTTCCCAACTCTCTCACTTCTTCCCCTACCCCCAGTTGTTAGTGACCTTCCCCCTTTCTATTCTAATACTATTTTCTATTCATTTATGTAGAATGTCCCAAAAGTTTTAGTGCAAGCTTTAAGCTTACTTTAATAGCTTAAAGCTTCAATAGCTTTTTGTTCTTGTGGGGGAGAACATCGAGTGTCTCTAAAGCTTAGTGAAGTTATAAACTAGCTTAAAACTAAAGCTAGTTTAAAGCTGGGGGCAGTTAGATGGCCCAGTAGAGGAAGTAGTGGGACTCGACTCAGGAAGACCTGAGTTCAAAGATGCTGTATGACCCTGGGCAAGTCACTTAATGCTGTTTGCCTCAGTTTCCTCATCTGTAAAATGAGCTGGAGAAGGAAAGGGTAAACCACTCCAGTATCTCTGCCAAGAAAACCCCAGATGGGGTCACAAAGAGTCAGACACAACTGAGTAACAAATTTTAAGCTAGCTTAAAACTTAGCTTAAAAAGCTAAGACTTTGGGAACACCCAGTATTTGTTGTTTTCTCCTCAGAAGAATAAAAAGCTCTTTGAGGGCAGTGAATATTTCAATTTTGTCTTTGTGTCCTATCCATAGCTTCTAGCACAGTGCCTGGCTCATAATAGATGTCTGATAAATGCTTATTGAATGAATGAATGGATGAGAACATTGGATCCAGAAGTCAGGCATGTATTGGTTTTGAATAATCGCTGTAACTTTGGAGGAAGATGCTTCAGCTCTCTGAGTGTCTGTTTCCTCATCTGTAAAAAGGGACGATAATTCTTATTCCATATTTAGCAATGGGTTGTTATGAGGATCAAAGGAGAGAAACTCCTGGTAAGATGTTCTGTAAATAGGAAATTGTTACATGATGGTCAGCTATTGTCAGTTATGTTAGGCATCCCAGGCTTCTGGAGACCTGTCTAAGTCTTTTCCTTTGTCCAAATCAAATCTTGCTGAGGAAGACGGGAGGAACTTCTGCATTCCAGGGCCAGACGCTGCTCCTGGTTTTATGATACACCTTGATTCTAGGATAGGGGCAGTTTAGTAATTTTTCATTGCTTGTTTTGATTCCTTTTTATGTACGGCCAATACTGGTGGTGTCAGAACCAGTTCAAATGTCTTCCCAAGCCTAACAACTTGGGTCTAACTATATCAGAAAGGATATTCACTAGGTTGGAAATCAGAGGACCTTTGAGCCAAATTACAACTTGACTTCTTGCTGGAGGGGTGACATTGGATAAGTCGGTCCAATCCCCTCTCTACCGTTCTGTTTCCTCCTCAGTAAAATAAGGACTGATTTCTAATGTCTCTTCCAGTTCTAAGTTCTATAAACTGGGAACTTTGAAGTGTTGGACAATTTGAAACTGGATGGCTGGGCTGAGGCCCTGTGGGAGGGTGGTTTAAATCTCAGGAGACGATGCAAGTCCCCGGCAGCCAAAATCATCTCTCTCCCTTCCATGGGCTTTCATCTCAGTGACATCCCCTCACACCCACTTCAAGTACTCTTCAAGTTCACCAAAAAGCCTGGGTCATTTCCATATTACCAGGTCCAACTTGGACCCATTGGAGGAAAAACCTAAGGGGACCTTCTTGGGGAAGATTGTGTGTAGGCCACACCCTTGGAACCCCTTTTGGGAGGTCAGCTTCTAGTGCGACAATTTAAGAGATCATCCGGATGAAGCCCCTCATTTTATAGGAGTGAAAACCCAAGCCCAGCAAAGATGACACAGGGAGCGTCAAAGCAAATGTCCCAAGTGCCCTGATTCCAAAGCCATTACTCTTTTTAATTGAATTTTTTTTTTCAATTAACAAGCATTTCAAGTGGGACTTAAATGAGACATAAGAAGACACTCTCAACCTACCCCTTCATGGAGTTGGTCCACAGGTGGTGGTGGTGGGCAGTTGTTTGCCATTTCCTTCTCCAGTGGATTAAGGCAAAGGTTAAGTGACCTGCCCAGGGTCACACAGCTACTGAGTGTCTGAGGCAGAATTTGAACTGAGGTCTTCCTGACTCCAGGCAGCCATTTAGCTGCCTTGGGTGTTACAGAAAGCATATGTTTTTGAACTTTTAAAATACGTAACCTGATAAACGCAGGAGAGAAAAAGGAATGCGCATTTATGTTCTCTCTCTGTGAAAGGAAGAAAAAGAAAAGGAAAGAAGGGAGGAAGGAAGGAATGAAGGCAGGAAGGAAGGGAAGAAAGAAGGCAGGGGAGGGAGGGCAGGAGGAAGGAAGGAAGGAAAGAAGGAAGGAAGGGAGGGAGGGAGGGAGTCCGTTGGCCACGTCCAGGAGGTGCATGTCTCGGTCAGGACATCCCTCTTTCCTCTGGGACCTCCGGAATCACGGGTGTCCCGGCCTCGATCGTTGCTAAGTCAGAGCCATCCTTCGGACTCCCGGTGTGGGGCTCTCCCCCCACGCGCTGCCTCCGCCTGTAACGGGCAGTGGATTCGCGTCCCTTGATCCCGGGTGTCTCTGTTCGAAGCTTCCCCGCTCTAAGACTTTTGGGACACGGGGGGGGGGGCGGTGTGCAGGCGGGGAGGAGGTGGCTTGCTACAGCTGAGACTGGGACCACCACAATGTGACCCCGGGCAAGTCGCGCCCGGCCTCCGTTTCCTCCTCTGTAAAATGTGGGGGCGGGGTCCCTTCCTGCCCCAGAGCTAGGCCTGTCCTTCGTGTCTGGGTCCCGTCCCCCAGGCACACAGCAGGCGCTTAACGCTTGCTGGCTGCGATGACCTGTTGATCGCGGGGTGATCGTGGCGGCCCGGCCCCGGGCCCCGGGGGCCCCGCCGCCGCCGCCGCCGGCGTCGTCGTCACGGAGCCGGCCTGCCCCGCCTCCGGGCGGGGCCCGCTCCCCCGACGGCGCTGACTCAGCAACGCGAGGGGCGAGGTTTGTCCCTCGGCGGACCCCGTTTATCCCTCCCGGCTTCGCCGGGGCCGAGTGCGTTTCCTCTTTCCGGCGCTCCGGGTGTCCGCGAGCCCCATCCCGCCGCTTGCCCCGCTCACCCCGGCCCTGCTCCGCCTGACCCCGGCGCCTGCCCCCGCCCGCCGGAGCCGGACCCAGACCGGACCCGGACCAACCGCCGCCAGCGCCGCCCCCGGCCCGCCTCGGGACCCCCCGGACAGCGACCGTTACGAGGCCGCGCGCGCACCGCCGTCGCCATGAACGACGCGAGTGAGAGTCGAGGGGGGAGCGTTGGGGGTCGGGGCGGGGGGGGGGTGTCGGGACCCTGCGTGCGCGCGCCCCGCCGCGTGCGTGTGCCCAGCGTCTCCCACCCCCCACCGCGGAAGAAGGGAGGAAGGACCCTCGGACTCCAGCCCTGCTAGGATGGCACAGGGAAACTGGGGCCCGGGGGTAGAGAGGAGTCTCGCCTCCTCGATGGACAAGACAGGGAAACTGAGGCGGCGGGTGGCTGGGCGAGGGGAGCGAGCGCCCCAAGGTCACCCAGCTAGACAAGTGGCAGGGCCGGGTCCTGGGATCAGAGGTCCAGAGGTAGAAAGGTCCTCGGACATCGTCTGGTCTTACCCCTTTACTTGACAAGACGGGGAAACTGAGGCGGGGGTGGGGGAGTGCTCCAAGGTCACCCAGCTAGACAAGTGGCAGGGCTGGCTCGTGGGATCGGAGGTCTAGAACTGTGCCCCTTGAGAATGGGGGCGTATCATAAGTCCTAAGGGTTGGGTTCATGGGAACATGGGGGGGCCTCAGAGAACCTCCCCATTGTATGGAGTGGACCTGTGCGTCCTGAATGTTTGCACAAGGCCAGGACCTCGGTCTCTTTGTAAAGTGGATTTATAAAGTAAATTGGTAAAGAGTACGGTTGGCCTCTGTGGTCTCTCAGGCCCCTTCCAGCCTAAGACCTGAGAAATCCGGAAAGTCGCCCGCAGCTTGAGTTAGCCTCAACCTGTCTCTTTGTGTTCAAGTGAGCGACTGTCCAGCGGGGCTGAGCCTCAGGAAGTTGGCTGCCATCACCCAGAAGCTGAGCAGCGACCCCCTGTTCTCCCTGGCCCAGAACGTGGGGAGCACCCACGACCTGCTGGACGTCTGTCTGCGGCGCTCCACGGTGCAGGACACGCAGCATGTCTTTCAGCACGCCGTGCCTCAGGAAGGCAAGCCTGTCACCAACCAGAAGAATTCAGGTAAGGGAGAGTTACTTTTGGAGATTGGATTTCTTGGCTGCTCCCTCGCTTTTCCTTAGGAGATCATGTTCGCTTGCTCTCCTCTCGGCCCCACTCAGGGAAATGAGGAAAGTTTGCTTGAAGAACTTGAAGTAAATTGCTAGAAGAGATTGACTGATTGTGCTTTCTTCCTGAAGTACTTAGTCTGGGCCTCTTTAACTCTTACAGTGCAGCAAATGCTGATTTCCCAATAAGTCGATATCATTATTAATGCTGCTGCTCTTGTCTCTAGTGCCTCATACACTGTTGTCTGCCACGGCCAGTGCAGCAGGCACCAGGAGGCCTTCTTTAAAAAGTGTTGACGCTCTAAGATGGCACCCATTGGTGTTGGTTTTTAGTGCTTGACTCAAACAAGCCTCACACTGAGGACGCCAAAGTCATGGCCTTGATCTCTTTGGCAGCGTTTTTCTGTTCCATGGCCACTGATCAAGCGCTCTGCCCTTTGTCACAAGAGAGACCTGGACAGAAGTCTGTGGGTATATTGGTAGAGCTCTACTTTCATGATAGGAAAAACATGTCAAAGTACAGGCTTTAGTATGTGTGGTGGTATTTTTATTTCCAGCAAATTCATTTGGAGCGGCTCCTAACCTGGAGTCCATGAACCTCGATGGGAAAAAAAATCACAGTTTTATTTTCACTAGTCTTTAACATCAACTTAACATTTCCTTCAACTATGAATTTAAAGAAAAACAAACCACATTAGACCCACGGCACACAAAATTAAGGAGTCTCGGTCTAGGGTATGGCCAGCTACTCTGTGTGTACTTGAAGCAGACCAGAGCCAGGAGTCATGGGAGTTGAGAAGGGTAAGGAACTGGAGGCCAGCGTTTTCTAAGGGGTTGGGGGTGGGATGGAGATGACTGATCTAATCAGAATTAGGGAGATGATGTAGAGGTCCGTAGGTGACCAGAACAAGGCAGAATGGGCCTTAAAGGAAGAGAGGTGGTTGCTGACTGGGAGCGTCCGAAAGCAGCCTTAGAGAGAACAGATGATGCCAACTTCTCTTCCTGATGCAGTGGGTCAGAGGGTAAGAGGATGAGCAGCCAGCCTTGGGGAGGTTGCCAAGAGATGTGGTGTCTTCAGAAGAAGGTTAGGTTTCAGTGAGCCCCAGAATGTGGAAGATGTTCAAGAGGAAGGGGCTTCGTAATGGGGGAGAGTTCCAGAGGTCACAATGGCAAGGGAGGGCAGAGGAAGATAGGGATTCGAGAGGGCGAGGAGTGAGGCGATGATGGGGGCTCCTGTCCCACTTTTGCCAGTGACTTCACCCTGGTTCTTGGAGGGCAAGATGTGTGGGGGCTTCCACTCTACCCAAGAGAGGAGAGTGATGCCTGGGAACTGAGGGGGTGGTGGGAGGGAGAGACAGCCTGAAATAACTGCTGCCCAGTGCTCCCTGGGGCAAAGCTCCAGCCTCCCTCTGCTAATTCCAGCCCATTTTCAGCAGTTAGAAGTGGGAGGACTCCAGGTGTATTTGCATTAAAATGTTACATTTGCATGTGTAGGTTGGTTAGTACCAGTATAAACAACCAGCCAACGTTTTAGGTTCAGTTTTCTTACAGGCCAGTTAACTTCCAACTGAGGAAACTATTCAAGGCACCCAGTCAGGCCCAGCTTCCTGGGCTGTCTGCTGTCCAGCATCTATGCTGGAGAGAAAAGCAGCTGTTTGGGTACTTTATTGGTTTCTCTTATTCCTATGTGCAAAAAGATAAGATACAGGACCAGGGCAGTTAGACTAGTCAATGTATTCTCCAGTAATTTTGAAGTTCTTATTATATACCAGTAAGATAAGCAGGGTTTTTTTTTTCCCCTTACCCGTCCCCAACCCCATCAGCACATAAGAGAGTCAGGTCCACAAAATAAAATTATACAATGAGGAGAGAGACAGACAGACAGACAATTCTAGGGACAGATAGAAGATGTCTAGAAATGTAGTGGTCCCCAGACCATGGTTTATAGGAGTTATGTATTCATATTTATTGGTTCTTGTAACAGTAATATTCAGTTAGGTTTATTTGTTGCTATTTATTTAGCTCTTTCCCAATCAGTGGGCGTATACTTTATTTCCAGTTCTTTGCTCCCACAAAAAGTGGTGCTATACATATTCAGACGTAGATAAGACCTTTCAAGTTTGGACCTTCTTGGGGTGTACGCCTAGCAGTAGGATCTCTTGGTCAAAGGGTATGGATGTTTTGGTCACTTTCTCAGTATGATTCCAGATTACTTTCTGTTGGACCAATCCATAGCTTCACCAACAATGCCCTAGAATGCCTGCCTCTCCTTGCCCAACCCCTTCAACTCTGACTATGCTCATCTTTGGTTCTCTTGCCAGTTGGCTGGGTATGAGTGGTCTCCATGCACATTTCCCTTGTTGGCAATTTGGAACGTCTTTCATTGGTCATTTGGACCATTCTTTTGTATAGATCCAGGTCTTCTTTTGAGGAGCTGCGTATGTGGTCATTTTTATCTGCTCCTATCTCTGTCTTATTCTTGAGTTGTCCAAGACTGCAGCATGATGCTCACCAGGAAATGCAGTTGTGTGTCTAATGCAACCTAGGAGAATACAGTGACTTGGGGTTTCTGTTTTCTTTTCTTTTTGCAGGGAGATGCTGGATCTTTTCGTGTCTGAACGTTATGAGACTTCCTTTTATGAAAAAGTTCAACATTGAAGAATTCGAGTTCAGTCAGTCGTATCTGTTTTTCTGGGACAAGGTATGGGAGTGAACTCCTCGCCGAGCTGTTCCCATTCATTGTCACGCACAGCTTCTCAGTAAGACCTTCTTCTTCAGAGCCTGGGTTTCCAGTTTGGGGCCACCCCTCGTCCCGTAGGTGATGCGCCGTTGTTGTACTCTCTGAGGTATTACAGGTCCCTCTCCTACAAAGGCAAAGCTGTTAGCAGCTGGCAGGGAAGTCCCCTCATTGCACTATTGCCTGTCTCCTCTATACCTGTTGGTATTTCTGATCATTCCACTAGGTCGTCTACATTCTTTAGCCTTTGTAAGACTACATTCCCAACTGCATATAGGACTTATCAGGAAAACAAGTTTGGATTGTGTCTCGAGGAAAAACAGTGATGCTTCAGAATCTCATCTCCTAGGGACCTTAGCGGCCATCTAGTGCAACCTCTGCCTGAAGCGTCAGTCCCCACTATAACCTTCCTGACAAGTAGTCATTCAGCCACCACTTGAAGACTTAGAAAGGTAGTGAGTTCCATTTTCCGGACATCTCTGTTAGTGTTTTCTTGTTTCTATGAGCCCAAATCGGTATCCTTGGATCTTCTGTTGCTGATCCTAGTTAGATCCTCTAGGGCCCAGCAGAATAAAGCTCTTCCTCTTTCCGTATTAAAGCTCTTCCAAGCTGTGATCGTGTTCCCTTCAAGTATTCGGGTTTTAGTTTCCCGAGATCCTTCCACCGGTCCTCATAGGACACAGTGTCCTGATTGTGATCTTCTGAATGTTCTCTATTTTGTCCATGCCTCTGCTACGTGGTAGTGGAAACAGAACACAATATTTAAGATAGAGTCTGACTAGAACGTATTACAGTGGGGCTCGGGCCTCCGTTGGTCTTGCGTCTGTACTTCTACTAATGTAGTGCAGAAGCAGTCATTATTATGGTGTGACTGGGCTATTCAAGCAGTACTCAAGTATAAGAAGAAATAGTTAACCAATGACAGACTCTTGAAGGCATATTTTGGCATTCAGGAACCAGACTGATTAGGAAGTGAAATAGTACATGAGGCCCACAAATGTTCCATTGGCCATATTCATATAGCATATCTGCTGGGTTTTCACCTCACTTTTGCCTGACTTGCCTTATTATGTTCCAGGTTGAACGCTGTTATTTCTTTTTGAATGCTTTCGTTGAAACAGCCGAGGAACCAGAGGATGGAAGGCTGGTGCAGTACTTACTTACTAATCCTGCAAATGATGGTGGACAATGGGATATGCTAGTCAATATCATTGGTAAGACATTGTTTCCCAGAATGTTGATCAATTAAAGGAACTGAAATAGACCATATTAAAGGCCCAGGATTCTAGTGCTGGACTCTTAATTCGTAGCTAATTCGTGACATCCATTTGACCTGAAAGAAGGGTTTGTTCTTCCTCATCCTTCATTCCTTCCTCACATAGCCTCTATTTTGTTGATGACCCTGACTTCTGTTAATTAACGCAGCACAGAATGAATCAGTATGTTTTGGTGAAGAGGCAGTTAAACAAATGATAGGCTCTCAAAAGCCTATGTCGGCCTTCAAGCTCCAGATTAGTTATCCTGTGAGAACTCACTACCTTTCTATGGTTTCAAGTGGTGGCTGGTTGACCACTTGTTGGGAAGGTTATAGTGGGGACTGATGCTTCAGGCAGAGGTTGCACTAGATGGCCGCGAAGGTCCCTAAGAGATGAGATTCTGAAGCATCACTGTTTTTCCTCAAGACACAATCCAAACTTATTTTCCTGAAAAGTCCTACATGCAGTTGGGAATGTAGTCTTACAGAAGCTATTATATGAGGTGAAGATGTGTGTGGGCAGAAACAGAATTGATTATGCAACAGACCACCTGGACAGAAAGAGGAAATAGATAAGGCTAGAAAACAGTTCACTAACCTGATAAGGGAGAGCATGATGTAGTAATCCTTAGGAGACAGTATTCACATATGTACTAGATCTTTGCTCAAAGCATAATAGCTACTGACTTCTTGACTTTCCTTAACAATTCCATCCTTTAAAAGGTAGAGGGGAGGGAAAGTTCTATCTTAGAGTTAATTCTCACCCACAAGGAGAACTTGTTGCAGAGACAAAACATTGGGAATTTGGGAGTGTAGGAGTGGTAACGAGAAGTCAAGTCATCAGGTGTTTATTAGGCACCTGCTGTGTGCCAGGCACTGTGCCAAGCACTGGGGATACAAAAGAAGGACAGTTCCTGCTCTCAGAGAGGCTTGTGGCTTAATGGGAAGAACAATATGTGAACATTGGTGTACAGACAAGATATTACTAGGCTGAACTGGGACTAACGTGAAACGGAAGGTGCTAGCATTAATGGAGAATCAGGAAAGGCTTCTTGTAGATGTTGGGATTTTAGCTGGGATCTCAAGGGAACCTGGACATGGAGATAAGGAGGGTGAGCATTCCAGGCCTGGGGGACAACCTGTGAAAACTCACAGAGTTGGAGGATAGAGCATCATGTGTGAGAAACAGTAAGGAGGGCAGCATCACTGAATCACAGAGTACTGGAAGGGAGTGAGATGCAACAGAGTTAACAAGACTGGAAACAAGTGGGTCAGGTTAAGAAGGGCTTTAAAGCCGAGACATTGGCTTTTCCATTTGATCCTGGATGTAGTAGGGAACAACTGGACTTTAATGAGTTAGAGGGTGGACAGGGTCAGAATTTGGCTTTAGGAAGATAATTTTGGCAGCTAAATGGACTAAGGATGGGAGTGGGGAGAAATGTGAAGACCAACCATCAGGCTATTGTAATTGTCCAGGTATGGGATGCCAAGGGCCCATTCCACTCTATATTAGAATTTGTGGTAGAAGAGAGGTAGGCCAAGAATAGTTTGACATATAACCTTAGTTTTTAGGAGAATAGATTTCAGAAGATTCAGAGTGAAACTATGCAAGGTAAGATCCCAAGAACTAAAATTTTCCAGGGGAAGGCAGCCTCGGAGTGATGAGAAGAATGAAATTATGAAGACAAAAAGAGAAACTATTTTGATGGAAAAGCAAAGGGGGAATTGTCTAAAGAGAGTATCAACAAATTTAACTTATGAGAAGACACCTTGGACACAGGATGGGAGCAAGGACGGGCAATGGAGGATGGCTGTCGAAACATGGCAGGGTCCTGTAAAAATAATGCCAGGACTGCTAGAGCTAACGATCGGGAGAAAACATAAGCACACCAAAAAGGGCTGGTCTTGTTTTTGGTTTGTTTGAGCCATTTTGGGGAGAAGAGGAAGAATAAAGGAGGGATGAAACAGTAAAAACCGCAAATACAGAGAAGGCCAGTAGTTACTCAGTCTTATTTTGCTTCTGTTTTCTTGGCTAAGAGAATGACCTTTGGGCTGACAAGGAAAAACAGAAATAGCTTATAGGGAGTTGATACCTAGGCTAAATCTGGGGATAGGAAGATCTCATTACCTCTGATGAGTTCAAGGCACCATTTCCAAATAAATAGAATCCTCAGGTGTGAAAGAACTGGCAGATGTGATTAATGAGCCTTTGCAATGGTCTTTGAAAGATCGTGGAGAGTGTGAGAGGTACCCCAAGAAGGGCACTTGTCTCAGTTTTTAAAGAGTAGGGAAGGTAGGTAATGGGGTCTGCAAACAGGCCACTGAGCTGGATTCAATTCCGGGAAAATTCTGGGGCTGGTTAGTGAATATCTTGAAAAGGCAGCTGTGATCACAAAGAGCCAGTATGACTTCTCTGAGGCTTCTAGATCAGTAAAATACTGGGCTCTAGGCTGATTTTAGCAAAGCGTTTGACAGAGCCTCTCATTCTGTTTTTGTGGGAAAGATGGGAAAAGGTGGGAGAGATTAGAGAATAAGTGGATTTGGAAGTGGTTGGACCCGAAGAATAGTTATTAATAGTTCATTGTTAGAGACGGTTAGGTGGTTCAGTGGATAGAGTACGGGCCCTAGAATCAGGAGGACCTGAGTTTAAATCTGGCCTCAGACACGTACTAGCTGTATGACCTTGGGCAAATCACTTAACCCCAATTGCTCTCTTCCTGCCTCCCAAAAAAAAATAGTTCATTGTTGGAAAGAAGTGTTTTCTGAAGGGCCCCAAAGATTTGTGCTTGCCTCTTTCCCACTTGACCTTTTTTTAGTCCATGATTTGGTGAAAGCCAAAATGGCCTTTATCATATTTGCAGATGACATAGAGCTGGGGGAAGATATGATGTGTTTGATGATACAATTTGGGCCAAATATTGGGATCACATTTAGGAAGATGAAGTTTAATAGGGGTAAATGTGAAATTTTACGTTTGGATTAAAGAAATCAGCATCAAGTCCAAGATGGGAGAGACATGGTGTTATGTAGTAGATCCTTTGAAAAAAGATCTGCTGGTTTGGGTAGACTACCAGCTAAATGTGCTCTGCCAGTGTGATTTGGTGATAGTTGTGAAACTCATTTGTGGACATTTTTTTTTAATTTTTAGAAAAATATGGGGTTGTTCCTAAGAAGTGCTTCCCTGAGTCTCATACAACGGAGGCAACTAGAAGAATGAATGACATTCTGAATCACAAGGTAGGAAGTGTGGGGAGGGCTACTCCTGTGCGTACCCCAGAGCGCCCATCTGTCTTCTTCCTGACCACGGTGCTCATGGGCAGCTGTTCTCTGTCCTCAGGCCCTCAGCCTCGGTATCCCTGGGGTCCCTCGGGCAGCTCAGCGCACGCTTATCCCCTGGTTTGCGGCGTCCTTGGGGTCAATGATCTCTCTTCTTAGTATATTTCATGGCTGGTGCAGCTTTTTTTTGTGTTTCCTGATGTTCACGTGTACAAGTGTTATAGTGTTTTTGCTCATTTCTTTCTTGATCTCTTTCCTGACTGGAAAACTTGTGATTTCCTCATCACGAGGCACTCCCCTCTATCAGAGCGGATCCATCTACTCTGCAACTTCTAGTTTTGGAGAGTGGCCTGGGGCACTGAGAGGTCAAGAAAAGACTTGTCTAGGGTCACACGGCCAGTATGGGACAGAGGCGGAACTCAAACACAGCTCTTTCTGATTCCAAAGCCAGCTCTCGACTCCTTCTGCCAGGCTACCTCTCATTTCATTGATATCCTGAAATGGAGTGCTGGGTTGGCTTCTGTGGACAAGCCACGGGGACACAAGTGGGTTAGGATTTCTGAGGGAAGCTGTAGTTGAAGCTGCTGTTATTAACCTGCCTTCACGCTGACCTGCCTGCAGGAGAAACTGCTTTGTCAGCCTGAAGCCTTTTGGGCGTAGGAGTTGCAAGGCTATAATCTGTTGCTGTAAACCCACGGGTTCTTCTTGGTGTCACCTTTAGAATGGCGCACTTTTAGATGAGTTTCCCATCACTGGAAGTGAACTGGAGCTTCTCACTTGTGGACTGCCCGGTCAACGCGCTGTACCTCCGTGTGACCAGGGTGTTTCCTTTACTCCTGCTCCGGATTTCCACGATTAGTCGCACCGTGCCTCGCTCGCTTTTATCTCCAGTGTGGCATGTTCTTCTTTGCCATTTGAAATAATGTATCCCACCCTGAAATGTACCCATAAATGAGACCTCTCTCGTTCCTCAGGCACTGGCATAGCATTAGTCACAACTGCTCAGCGGGGAAGAAAAAGTTAGCAACAAGTAAAATTCAGAGCAGGTCAAATCTACGAGGCTCACTAGGTGGGACCTGGAAATGTGGTCCCTGGCCACAGGGTAGGAGGTGGCATAGTCGCCCGTGTCTGTGAGTCTGCTCCAGGGCCCAGTTTCTTCCAAAAGCAGCCCTTTCCCTACCACCTTTTGTTTACACTGGCAGTTAGTCCTCATGAAAAGTGTTTTTAGCATACCTTGTTCTGCATTAGATTGAATTTACATGGACCCATTGGGAAAAGGGTAAGTAGGGTCAGGAGCAAGCTCCCGTGTGCTCCGTTGCTTTCAGCATCTGTCAGCACCAGTTTTAATGAGTTAGCGAACCAGTGACAGTTCTGCATTAAAGTTGATTTAGGACACGCTTTAATGATAGACATTTTCTTTTCACAGATGAGAGAGTATTGTATACGACTTCGAAACTTGGTAAAAAGTGGAGCAACAGAAGAAGATATCTCTGTCACCCAGGACACCATGATGGAAGAGGTAATAATAGTGATTTGATTGTCATTAACACCCTTCCGGAGAGCTCAAAGAACGTTCACATTTGCTTTATTTTTTAATACCTTGGGAAGGCAGTTCAGAGGCCTAGTCATTATTATTTCCATTTTACAACTGGAGTGACTGAAAGGGATAAAAGGTAATCCTGGATTTGGGACCAAAATCCAGGCCTCCTGAGCTTGGATCTCCACCACTTCAGTATTTAATTGCACTTTATGTATAATTAATTTTCTTTATGGCTTGGGTCATGGGGAGGGGCAGGGATTATTACAGGTAGAAGATTTTGAAACACCATGGTATTAAAGTTTCATTAGTAATGGGCATCATAACCCTTGGAAATTGAAATAATGGCCTCTTTGGGAGGGTGGGAGGTGTTACAATAATACTGCTGACCTTTGCCAATCTAAAGGAGCCGTGAACTGACTGTGGATTAGTGATGTCCTGGGTCGCACACTGTGGGTGGGATTGTGGGAGGAGTCTCAGCAGAGTTGTTCTAGAGCAGAGGTATCAAAATCTAGGCTAGAGAAGCAGATTAATTGGGAAATATCTTAGCAAAATAAAAGTGCAGTAGAACATAGAAAATGTTAGTATGTGGTTTTCTAAATCAGTATGCCACGAGCAGGGATCCTTATGGATGGTTCGGTGCCCCTGTTTCTGTTGAGTTTGACACTCTTGGTCTAAAAGACCTCCTCCCCCCAACTCCCAAACACACTTTGAAACAATGGAACCCTAATATGGCTTCATTTTGCCTAGTTCTGGACCACATGTTTTCAGGACTTTATCCATTGATTCCATTGGTGGGCTTTTCCTTTTTTCTGCAGTGATTCCACTCATTTGAACCTGACACTTTCAGATTCCTGATCTGACTTAAAAGTCATTTAAGCAAATTAAATCAATAGCTTGAACTTACAGCCAGAACATTTTAACTGTACTTTGAATGGGTTCTGAGTACTTTGTGATTCTAAGAAATTGATTCTCAGTAAAGCCGAGAGTAGCTTATGTCTTGAAACAAGATTTTTTGTCTTGGGCTATTCTAGGTGTCCCACATTCCTCTCTTTCTAGCAGGGTGCTTAATCTTGGATCTGTGAGCTTGTTTTTAAAATATTTTAATAATTGTCTTTCAGTATAACATACTGAGAAAATATCAGTAAAATAGTAGGTGGCGGTTTTGAACGTTCAGGGTCTTTGGCTTCAGGGTATACAGAGTGACCTGCAGGGTCAGACTCAGGATCTGAATAGTCTCGTCTTCTGTTTCTAACAATGGCACCAGGGGACGTTCTTGGCTGCTGCAACACCAGCCCAGAAGGTTAAGGATGTCAGTCACTGCTTTTCTTCTGACTCTAGTCTCCTTCTCTGTAAAGTGGGAGAGCGGTGATACCTGGCGGTGCCTTCTTGCACTCTGCCTCTTGATGATTCTCCAAATCCTTCCATTCAGTTCAATAAATACCCAACGGCCTCTGTGTTCAACTTCTGCCTTCTCTTGTGGCTCAGTTTTTTTTTTCTCCTCTTTTTAGTGAGGCAATCAGGGTTAAGTGACTTGCCCAGGGTCACACAGTAAGTGTCAAGTGTCTGAGGTCAGATTTGAATTCAGGTCCTCCTGGCTCCAAGGCTGGAGCTCTACCCACTGTGCCACCTAGCTACCCCTCACAACAGTCTTTTAAACAACCATCAGACTCCCCTGACCAGACTCCATGGTGGTTTACTTCAAGCTTAGCCACATGTCTTCTTTTCCTTTTCCCCCTTAAGCTATTCCTGACCCCTAGGCCTCCTCTGGTAGTCTCTGAGTGCCTATGGTTGCCTCCAGGACCACCCCACGGCCATAGAAATGGTGCCATGAACTTTGTTATCCTATGGATTGACGATCAATACATGTTAGTTAATTCTGGGACCGTTCAAGCATGCCCATAGGGGTTAGGTTAAGGATATGATAAAAAAAGAGACAACACTTAGTCTGGGCATCCGTGGATCTTGTCGTGATGAATATTCATTTTTGTCCTCGTAAATGCATTAGTCTTGTAAACTGCAGAGAAGCCAGTCATTAGTAGCTTCTGGTTGATAATGAAATGACATTTGTAAAAGCACATAGCACAGTGCCTGGCATGTAGTAGGCACTTAATAAATGCTTGTTCCCTTCCCCCTTAAGAGAAAAACAGAAAATGCTTTATTTCTTCTTCTTTATTCTAAAACTACCCCATCCAAGCTTTAGGGGCACTCTCCAATTGTCCTGTTCTGAGAGACAGTGAGGAAGGTAGTGTTTATTAATCCATTATTATCCATTCCTTTTAGGGCAGGTCAAATTCTGTGTCCTAATTTCTTTTTTTTTTTTTTAAATGAAAAATTTAAAAATGTAAATGGTAAATGGAGACATGTTTTCCAGTATTATTACTTGGATAACAAGTATATATTACTTGGATAACAAAGTACAGTTGGGAAGGGTCCAAGGTGCACATGCTTCATGCTGAGTCGTCCTCTATGGCAAATGATACAATAGCAAATTCCCATAATATTTCTCTCTTCTTAGGATAGGGCCTGTTTACATATTTTCTGCCCCCTGTAGTCATGTTAGCAGCTCCTTCCTCATCCCTACCCAGGTCTTCTGTCCCCTCCACTTTTCAAAATTTGCTTTCTCTCTTTTTCCTCCTCCCATACCTCCCCTCTCCCCATTTAAAAGAAAAAAAGAAAAACAAAACTCTTGTGACAAATAATGCATATTCAAGCAAAACAAATTCCTTCATTGTCCATGTCCCAGAAGTGCACCTTAATCCATCCTCACCTCTGGCAGGAGGTGGGTGGCGTGTTGCATCATGGGTTCTCTGGAATCATAATGGGTCACTTCATTGTCTTTCCACGTGGGCTGCCTCCCTTGGATACCACAGAAGGAGTCATACTTGTTTTGGGAGCCTGTTTCCTCCCCACAACATCCTGCTTCCACTTGCCAAGCATCTCGGTAGGGCCTCTTCTCCTCCCCATCATTACAATGCTATCCTTAAAGGAAGCTTCTCATCCTTCTCCTTTCTCCTTTCCCCAGCAAACACCATTATTCTCCTGACCAGACTCTTCTTTCTGTGCTCCTCATCTACCCCAGCCCTGTTAGGATGAGTCATGTCTTCATCTGTTTGGATTGCAAGCGCCCTGGGACCAGGGCACATTTCCTTCATCGTATCTGTATTCCCTGTGCCCGGCACCTTGTACTGAATACTTGTTGAAGGATTGATCCTGCCTTTTTGCTGGTGCTTGTCTGTCTTGGGCACCTATGGCTCTGCCCACTCATTGGGATGACTAACCAGAAGCCGCTGTCAGTACCTTCCAACTAATATACCTTCCCCTGTCTTCTGCCCTATTCCTGCCAACCCAGGCTCGCTCTGTTCTGGATCTGCCAGCGGTGTTCTTGGCTGTCTCTTAACTTACTTAACTTAACTAGCTTAACTTCTTGGTGTTTCTAAGTAGCTGCAATGCCTGTCCCCAGACTGCTCTAAGTCCCTAAGGATCAGCTCCCTCTGGGGTTGCTTATGAAAAAGACTTCACAGTTGAGTTCAAGATGTAATTTCCTTCTCTTTCACAACTGTCTCTCTGTCTATCCTCATTTTCTGCCCCCCACCCCCATCGCACAGTTCTCCAGCTCAGATTTTGGCAGTCCATGGACAGAAGGTGTTGGGTGGGGGAGGGATGGAGAGGGTGGGGCTAGGGAGGAGTTAAAGGATCAGGAACAGAGGGGTCCTCTTTGTGATCCTTGCCTTGGGGAACTTATATAACTCTCATCCCCTCCTCATGCTTTTTCACTACGTAGTTGTGTTCCAAGGTACGTGAGTTGGCCCTTGGCATAAGATATTGTGTGTGATGGCTGGCTGCGTTCCATTAGGATTGGACTATATTTTTTCCCCAAGATTGTTTCGACTATCTTGGGAAAAGCAAGTGATGCTACAGCAGTTGCCCACAAGAGAGCAGAGTGGGATAACAAAAGCACATCCAGGCTTTGGCTTATTAAATTCATAGCTTAGGGACAGCATTGTTAGTATAGAGCGTGTCATAATCTCTTCTCAAAAAAAGGGAAACTTTCTGCAGCAAGCAGCTGGGTGACTCGTGGACAGAGCCCTGACCTGAAGTCAAGAAGCCCTGATCTTCTTTAACTAGCTACAGATAATACCTGTGCGACTCTGGGCAAGTCACTTAGCCTCACTGCCTGCCTCAGTTTCCTCATATGTAAAATGGGTATAATAAATTCTCACGCTCATTGTGAGGATAAAATGAGAATGTTTATGAAGTGCTTTGTAAACCTAAAGTCTTCTGCCAGAGGCTAGGTAAAGCTCTACTTCTTCAGTGCACTTCCTATCCAGCTGCCGGTGGAAGTGGGTTTTGTTCCCTATCTGGCTGTGCCTTGCAGATAGGAATGTATTGGGGGGAGGGGGAAAGACGAGTTTAGACCTCTTTGGGGCAGCTCTTTGCCAAAGGAGTCGCCGTATGATTCATTAAATAGAAAGCTCTTGTCATCCACTATGATTGGACAGAAACTTAATTTATGCCTGGTGTCATAAAACATCATGTAGCAGAGCATGTACCCAAGTGCTAAACTTTGAGGACAGTCTGTGACTGTCGTGGGTAGCTGCTCAGGTGAGGCCCGTGTTTCTGTTTGGCCGAGGTCGGTTATGTCATTCTCTCTCACCAGGATCTGAAAACTTTTAGGCCTTAGAAGTCAGCTCCTTATCTAAGAGCTGGAGGTAGTTAGGCCTCTCAGCAGCCCATAGAATCAGGGGCTTGGTGAAGTACCTTCTTTGCTCAGCCTCTAAACGGCAGCATCAGCAGATTGGATTCGTGGGTGGCTATAAATAGATAACTGTGTCCAAGTAACATGGCGTTGGTTCCAGCAGGCAAGGTGCCAGTGGACAAATGCCAGCCTTCAATAAAAGTTAGCAGTAGAAATCAGTGTATTTACCTCTTCCCTCATTTCTTCATCTCTTAACCCTTCTCTCCTCCCCTCCGCTCCCTAT